TCAAACAATATCCCCGTGCTTGGTTTGTCTGATTCACTAATTCAGTAATCAAGTGCAGTTATACTCAAAGCCAGGCTGATCATACAATGTTCACAAAAAAATCCGAGAAGAAGATTAATGTACTTATTGTGTATGTTGATGATATCATTCTTACCGGTAATCACACTGAAGAATTGACAAAGCTAAAGAAGTTTCTAGCCCATAAATTCGAAATTAAGGACCTCGGAGACTTGAAGTTTTTCTTGGGAATGGAAGTTACAAGATCCAAAATGGGGATAGTCGTAACTCAAAGGAAGTACACATTGGACCTATTGAAAGAAACTGGTATGCTTGGATGCAAACCAATAGATACTCCAATAGACCCGTATAAAAAGATTTGAATGAAGAATGATAGTTTACCTGTCGACAAATGACGATATCAGCGGCTTGTTGAAAGACTTATTTACTTATCCCACACCAAACAGACAACACAAAACAGACATAAGTTTTTCAGTAAGTATAGTAAGTCAATTCATGAACTGTCCTACTGAGAAACATATGGGAGCTGTCAACTGTATCTTAAGATACTTAAAGATGACACCTGGGAAAGGATTATTATTCAAAAGGAATGATAGTCAAAAGGTAGAAGTCTTTACTGATGCTGACTGGGCAGGAGATATATCCACTCGACAATCAACCTTTGGGTATTGCTCGTATGTATGCGACAATCTAGTGACATAGAGAAGCAAGAAGCAATCGGTGGTATCTCGGAGTAGTGCAGAAGCAGAATACAGAGCACTGGCGCTTGGTATCTGTGAAGGAATGTGGATCAAAAGATTTCTCAATGAGTTAAGAATTATGGGAGAAAATTCTATCAAGATGTTCTGTGACAATCAAACTGCAATCAGTATCGCAAAGAATCTTGTTCATCATGACCGAACAAAACACATTGAAATTGATCGGAACTTCATTTCAGAGAAGGTGGACAATGGAATCATTGAATTGGTCTATACTCCTTCTAG